CATTGGCATCAGTGACAGCCTGGCAGCATCTCCCCATTGATGAAGTCAGATTTCGGATTACTTGTTGTGGAATGTTAGTCCACTCTGCCTGTAGCGCTTGCACAAGTTGCTGCGGTGATTGAGGTGCAGGTTGCCGTTGTCTGACACGTCTGTCTAATTCATCCCAAAGATGTTCTATTGGGTTCAAATCTGGTGATTTGGAGGGCCAAGAAAGAACTGAGATGTTGTTTGTGGAAAGCTGTGGTTAGTCGGGCTGTATGCGGTCTGGCGTTGTCATGTTGAAAAATTCTGCCATTATTCTGCATTACAGGAACAACGTGTGTTTGCAGAATTTCCTCACAGTACCATTGAGCCGTCAAATGTCCGTTTACGTGCACCAGCTTTGTTCTGCCAGTGTGGGATATTGCAGCCCACACCATGACACTTCCACCTCCAAATCTGTCGACTTCCTTGATGCAGTTAGCAGCAAAACGTTCATGTCGTCGTCTGTAGACACTTGCTCGACCACCTGCACGGTGCAACAAGTACCTTGATTCATCGCTGAACCAAACTGTATTCCAGCTCTGGTGTGGCCATATTCTATGCACTCGAGACCCCTGAAGCCTGTTTTGACGATGTTGCTGTTTCAAAACAACAAATCTCACAGGACGTCTTCCTCGGATACCAGCATCTCGTAATCGGTTTCTGACTGTCTGATCGGAGATCATACGCATTCCAGGAATTGATGAAGCAGCTGAAGCTGCTGTTTTGAATCTTTCACGCAAGTGCTGTAATCTGATGTAGCGGTCCTGAGCAGTAGTTGTCAGCCTTGGTCGGCCTGACCTTTGAAGGTCACGAGTTGACCCATGTTGTCGAAACCTATCCCAAAGGCGAGATATGGTACTTTGAAATGCATTCAAGACCCTTGCTACAGCTGTTTGGGATTCGCCTGCTTCTAATTGACCAATAAGCGTCGTTGCGCTGGGTTTCATTTAGACGTGGCATAATAAGTGCGTTTAATGTCTAGAGATGAAACCGATTTCAACACCGCCGAAAACCCCTGCCCTTTTAAGGCCCGGAGACGCGGTTCCTCAAGAAAAAAATGCATTATCGATTTAAACATGCTATTCGCAGAAATCAAGCAAGTATAAATTTGGCAGAAATTTTGGACAGTCCCATTAAATGACCTTTCATTTAAAAAACAGTTCGATTTTAAAACAGCATGACAATGTCCAATTTGAGACATATAAAATTTAATACCCATAATATTTTATCATTATTAAAAAAAAGTAAATATATAAGTTATGCGTTTCTTTTTTTTTTTTTTTTGAAGTAGATTTAAACTTTGCACAGGGCTCACGGCGGGTGTTACTGGTCAACTCCGGATGCTTACTTCTCCTAGACACCTGATCCCACCTCTGGAATTTTCAGGTGTCCGTGTTTTATGCCATCTTAACATATTTGTATTGTTCATATTGTTGATATCTTGATATCGCTCACTGTTCATTATCTTAATCTTTTACATTTAAATGTTGAAGTTCATTTAATATAGTGATTCTGTATTTTTGAGGTACTGAGTACTTCCGTTTAATATTATGTGCTACTACGGTACTACCCTCACTGGAAGACGGACAAATAAACTTGATAATCAAGTTCTTTAAAGAAATGTACATTATTGACCATGCAAATAATGTAAATGTTCAGATGAGTAAATGGTATGTATGACAATCATTTAAAATAAAACAAGGGTCTTGCACAATATATATAGGGACAGATACTGAGTACTTGACATATGCTTTTCATGCAATACTCTTGATATCAAAGAAAACGTGTGAAAAGTAAAGTTGTCTAATCCAACTATATTAGTTTTGATTATTTCACAAGTACACATAAAGTCATTGTTTGATAAACATTTTATTTGTCCTTTAGAAAAATTATCCAGTTAACAATGTCACTTACTTCAATATTCAAATTATGTTTACAACTTACATATTTTTCAAATAATAATTATTATTTAAAATCTTCGTTAATTGCCAATATTTTTTATTACTCTTTCATTATCTTTTTGAAACTTTCTCAGCTAAATCTTTGCATAATTTATCAAGTTTGATGAATTTTATACGAGGATCACAATGCCGCTTAAAGTTTTCATGTTTTCAATTTTTTTAAAAATTAATTTTACTATTTTCAGTTTCCATTAAAATATTACTTTTTCCAAAAATAAAAGTATGTGATCGTTTCTAATTTTTTGTAATTAAAAAAAAAAAGAGTACAGAATGCACCCCTGTGAGCTAAACTTTTAAAAAAATTTAATTAGAGAAGAAATAACTTCTCATTTTGAAAGAAATTCCATTGTTTCTATTAAAACAGTTTTATAATTTACAGAAACTTATAATGTATTTAATGCTTACAATAAAAGCTTTTTTCATATATTACTTCACTTAATAAAAGGTATGTCTAAATACTTTGGGGGTAAACCCGTAAATGAAAATCAAACTTCAGAGTCTCGCCGATGTTTTGAAGTCGGTAATAACATTCAACCCAGTCAGCAATGAACTCGTCCACCCAGTGCCCCTCATGGCATAATTAAGTCAAATAATTATGGTGGTTTACAAATTGTTCATGAGGCGTGCTATATAATTTATACAAAATCGTTCAACTCTCAAAAATAAACATTAACTATAAATCACGATTGCAGGATTTACCGACGAGTTTATACTCAACAAGTAACCCCTAAAATTCATGCCGAGCGATGAAAGGCAGTAGAGGTAGCGATGGTAACCAGATCATAGGTAGCGCTTTGACGAAGCTTCCGGTGTCGCATAGGTAGCGCTTTGACGAAGTTTCCGGTGTCGACAAAACTTGCGTAAGACCTTTGGTTACATGACATAAATTGATTAGCGTATGCGCTAACCGCTTAAAAAGAAAAAAAGAACGAAAGAAAAAACAAGATGAGAAACGAGTTTATTTCTTTGTTACAAAAATAGTATTTTCGATTTTTTTAAAAATAGGTATTCGATCACAAAGAGTCTATACGTGGAAATTCAGAACTAAATAATTACTTGTATATGTAAACATTCACGTCTTGTTATCTTAATAAAAAAAAAATAGAGCAAAGAAAAACAACTGTTTTCAATGAAATTTGTGACATATCGAATTTTGTATTATGAAACTCCCTCTCTCTCGCAGCTCTCTCTCTCTCTCTCTCCGTACTTTAGTAAATACTGGTGTACAGAATAACAAAACAAAACATTTTTTGCGATGCTGTGGTGACATTTCATCACTTAGACAGTTTTCTTAGTTGTGCGTGTGCTTTTTTTTTTTTTTTAAACTTTTTTTATTTGGAAGAAGGTCAGTGTCCCAGTAAGCTTCTTAGTGTTTCACATCTAGGACTGAAAAACCTCCTTGGTAAAGTATATTCTGAACTCTTTTGAATATAGATGTATGTTTTAATTTAAAGAATATTTTATTCACAGGGGTAAATGGGATTAGATTCAGTTCAGCCTATTTTAGCCCTTTCCCAACAACAAGGTCGAGTAAAAGAGGGGGAAAAAAGAAAAAAATTAAACATGAAAAAGTGCAAAAATACAGAGAAAGGTAAGCAAAATTAAAGCGAAAAATAAGAAAATTACAGAAAAGTACCGGTTTGGAAATATTCTAAAAATGTTACATTTACATACAAAATATTGTATTTTTAGCAATATTTGGCAGTAGTAACAATACTTGGCAGAAACAAATAATTCGATGTTGATCAATTGAAAATGTAACGGTCTGTGTTGGTTGCTTTCGACAAAAAGCTAATCGGAGCTAAAACGTGATCTATTGATTTTTTTTTTTTGTATTCACAAAGTCACCCGAGTCTACAAATCACTTGATAAACTGGAATATTAAACAGGTCACAATGAGGTCAATGACATGTAAATACCCGTGTATAGTGAAGGAAACGGCCGGTATTTTGTACCTTTTTTTTGCCAAAAGTTCACCCCGAGCACAGGCTTGCCCAAAATTCTCATGTTGAATTTCCAACAGTTATACACCTTCTGTCCTTTTGAGAAATTTGGGCAACGATGCGCTCACCATGTATTACGGCTTTAAAAATCGGAATAACTTTGAATATCAATGGAGATTCGTGAATTTCAGTGACCCCTCTTACAAAACACAGCATTGTTCTTTAATTTTACTGACTTTTAATTCCTGTAATTTCGCAAAGTTGCGATTTGGACATAGACGAATCGTATTATTAACCTCATTTGACTATTTTCTATACTTTATTTTTGTGCCATTTACCCAATTTACCGGGGGCCATGTTTTGTACGCTAAGCGTAATCATTCTTTCAACACATTTTTATGCCACTTTATGCTGGATTAAATCATGATATTCAAATTAATTTGAAAATGTTTTCAGTTGTTAACAAACGAAGCAGGATCACTTTTACACAACAACTGATACATTGCAAGCATAATGAAAGTAGGATTCTTTCTATAATATTGAGTTAGGTTATTACACACTTACACAACCCTTTCGTTTTAAGATTAAGTGACAATTTCAACATTATATGCCCACTCCTTGCAATTGTGAATTTATTTGAATGATTTTCATTTCATGCAAGAGCTGGTCATAACCTTGCGGTATGCATTACATGTATAGAGGTAATCTTTTACCTAACCAAGACCACAATTTTACCTACCAATTCTTTAATCATCATTAGTTAGATGAAGATGATGAAACATTTAACTCACTCAACATTCATGCTTTTATCATGTTGCTTTACAACAGACATTTCAGCCATATATGTTACTATGAATCTCTTTCAGAGAAAGAATCTTTTGAAAGAGAACTGGACTTGGGTCAATTCAATAATTTTATTGAAGTTTTATATATTGTGGCTTGCAACATTGATATCACAATCGAAACATTTTAATATTGTAATATTTACATAAACTTTAATTATATTAAACAAAACAAATTATCACAGACAAAATCAAGTGAAACATTTAATTCTGACACGGGTTTTACGTACCTCCAGCTCCTCTGAAATATATTTTTGTCGCTCGTTGTGGTAGAGGATCCAGGAAGCATGAAATCGTCAAAATCCTTACCATTAAGATTTCCGCAGAGACCATCCACGTTGTCCTTGTCAAATATGGAAGGGGTTATATGGATGTTGTATAGCCAGTCTTTTCCTACTTTGTACTCAACGGTGGCACCCGTTGTTAAGGTAATCTAATGATGAACAATTATTCATGGAACTTTGAAGTAAATATTTATAAATACTTAAATATATAGGCTTTCAACTCCTTTGGTATTTGATGCTGTGGACTAATTTCATACATTTATATTTAATAACACGGGTTTCTATGTTACACTGAAACATTTATTTTATTGTCTTTTTCTCTACAACTAATTATTCGGTTTTGGCCACCTCGTAAAAAAAAAAAAAAAAAAAAAAAAAAAAAAAAAAAAAAAAAAAAATATGCCTCTGCTGATAAATGCATTTACCTTCTTATTTTGGGTAACCAAGAAGCGGTTACATGAGAACAGTGATGACTATATGTGAGAAGTTTATTTTTTCTATATAGTTTAGAGGATAAAATTAATATATCAATTTATTATATGATTGAATAATTCTTAGCTCTTAGATCCAACATTTTAGAAAAAAATACTACGTTATGTTCACCTGCAATTGACCTTCCAGGCAGGATTTATTTTTTTCTACATTGAACTAAAAAAAGATCGGGAAATTCCAAATTAATACAAATACTTCTGGAAAGTTATTTCACTTGCACTTCCACTCACTTGAACATAATATTCAGGAAGATAGAATAGGAGGGGGCTCATGAAGCTGTATGGGGGACTGCCCCCTCCCACACTTTTTTTCCTGAAAGTAAATATTACTTTAAATTTAGTATAAAATTGTTCATTGTAAGGCCGGTTGCCCCCATCCCGCGGTTATGAAGCCTAACACCCCCCCCCCCCAAAAAAAAAATAAATAAATGAAATTTAGAGTTTGGAGAATTCTCGTGTTTGGGGGAAAATCAATTTATTTTTTCAGGTAAGTTGTCAATTTCTTACTTTATAATGCCTCCTTTCAACATCGATCCCCTGTGTCTGACATTCTGCCCGGAGTTGGTGGGTTGCCAGGGCATCAACGATAGTTGAAATCGTTGGATAACTTACTTAACTGGAAAAGCTACTTATGCATAAATTATCCCACGTTTCCAACAGCCGTTGATGTCCCTGGCATTCCAACGCATAAGAAAGTGATTCCTGATTTTCACATTTATATTTGAAATGAAAAGTTAAATATAAATCGAAAATGCTGCCTTTTTAAATAGAATTGAAATACACGAGACATTCCATATTAATTTCAACAGAGTAGCCGAGTAGCCCATCGACGTCAATTTTTACTATAAAAATAGTCCGATTAAAAAGTGGAAACAAATTAAATAATTGTTTATTTCTGTTATTAGCAATAAACTTTTATAATAAACAACAAGATGATTTTTTATTATGATCAAAGTCATTTGATCAACTTTGATGAAAAATGTGACCTAGATCTAGTCGGAAGGGTACCCACGTGCTTTCCACCGCCATATTGAATGTCAGACTGCAAGTGTATATATATATATATATATATATATATATATATATATATATATATATATATATATATATATGTATGTATGTATGTATGTATACATGTATATATTCGTGTAAATTCACCCCATACACCTCAAATACTTTCGATTTTGAAAAATGAAAATATATGAACTTACTGTTGTCCACGTACGGTTCATTTCTATCACCATGTGCTCCTTACTACAAACGTGATAAATGGTGTCGTGATGTTTTAGCGGCTTGGTGAAATTGTAGGAAATCTCCTCACAGGTCCTGTATGCAAACAAAGAGTCTTCTACCTTGACAGCAATGCCACATCCACATGGTCCTTCTCCTTCCCAATTGTTCCATTCGCACGAGGAAAACAAGGCGTGAACCTAACATTAGATGTTTCAATAGAGAAATATTACATAGTGAGTAAAAAATATGTATCTTTTTTTAAAAAATGTCTTACTATATGAGAGGAATTTTAGAGCAATTACTAGTATATCATGCCAAATAAAAGTACAATAATTTTACGTATGGAATGAAGGTCAGCTGCTTTAAATTCATACACAATATCCTAACAAAAAATACTATAATAGTTTACTATAATGATAACTTTGACACTTTGATTTACTATAGTGATCACTATGACACTATAGTGGTAACAATGAAAACTTTGATTTACTATAGTGATAACTATGAAAGACTTTGATTTACTATAGTGAAAACTTTGAATTACTTAGTGATCACTATGAAAACTTTGATTTACTATAGTGAAAACTTTGAATTACTCTAGTGATAACTTTGAAAACTTTGATTTACTATAGTGAAAACTTTGAATTACTATAGTGATAACTTTGAAAACTTTGATTTACTATTTTGATCACTATGACACGATAGTGATCACTTTGAAAACTTTGATTTACTATAGTGAAAACTTTGAATTACTATAGTGATAACTTTGAATTACTATAGTGATAACTTTGAAAACTTTGAATTACTATATTGATCACTATGACACTATAGTGATCACTTTGAAAACTTTGATTTACTATAGTGATCACTATGACACTTTGATTTACTGTAGTTAACTATAGTATTTTTTTGTTAGAGTACGTACAGCAATATCTCTGCTGATATCTCTGTACATAATGAATTCTCCTGGAATCTGTGCTGTCCAAATTTTCCCATCGAATGTTTTCATTCGAGGGTCGGTGTTTGCGTGACACGACTTGTTAGCCACAGTCTTGTCTGTATCCTGAACATTGATCTGTGTAAAAAATGAACCGATATATGATTAATATAATGAATACATATTAAACACAAATTGGTTAAATTTATAAAAATAAAAAAGGCCTCTTTGTTTAATGTAAATACTTTAAGTTACATTAGTTTATACTTGTGAACCTCGTAGCTATCTGCTTTTATCTCCTTCTGCCAACCTTCTGTCTCTCAGTTCTGCTTTAATTTTTTTTGGGGGGGGGGGTGTTGTTGTTAAACTTCGAGATAGAATTGAAATTTGGTTACAGATGTTTTTTTAAAGAAATGATTGGTACACAATTGTTTATGATATAAAAGTCCATAGAGAACTACGACGCTTCACGCCTGCATATTTCATGAAGTATGTTAGCGCTTCATGATAAATATGCAGGGTGAAACGTTGTAGTTCATGTACCTCATGAATTCTCAAAAATTAAATTCATATTTTATATTTACATTATTTTACCGATGACTTGCCACATTTTTTTGTCATTCATGTTTGCACTTTTTTTTTACTTCAATCACATCACAATGGAAATATTCTTAATCATCCCACGGTAGTTTATGTGAAGATGAACGTTTTCTAATTTGCAAAAATATTTTAAGGAAAAACATTTGGAAATGTTAATATATTGACATAAATTATTGTGCAATCGGTATTTCAGAAGGGTTCGTATGGATTTAATTTGATGTATCAGATTTATAAATTGTACCCCGTTGTAAATGGAGGACGGAAAGTTCATTTTCCATTGGTGTGGCACTGACCAAAGGTGCTAGTACATTATAATTCAATATAATTCAATATAATTCTCAGTTTGTTGAATGAAGAAATTATTTGTGACTGTATTGGACAAGTTATAATATCAGAGAACCTTTTACCTTTATATTAGGCATTGTGAAATTTAGCCATACTCCCGATACATCAGTGCGGCTCTCTGTTTTGGTACCTAGTCTTAAATTAACTTCTCTGTCCTTCAAATTAACCAGTCCGTCTGTTTTTCCAGTTACTTTAAAAGTCTGTTTTTGCCTCCATGTAGAGCTCTTGATAGTAATTCCACATCCCTTTTCCTTAAATGCAATGGGACCTTGTCCAGTGTAGTCCTGACATGAACCCACGTTGGTTTGAATGTTCGGAGTTTGTAGGTAAACTTCAACATCACACCCCGTCCTAAAAGTAGTGTTAAAACAACCCACAGGAACCGTAACCATTAACTCTATATTAATTGTGTCTCCTTCTTTGACTTCATAAGCATACGATGAAGGCTGTTGGAAAGTAAAACAATATTTCGGTGATATATATATATATATACAGCGTTTCATAACGTACAGAAATTCTTGCGCAACGCAATATTGAACAGGAAATGAGTAAATTAAAATTGCGTCAAGAGTTTTTGCAATGCATATTCAATTTACCTAAACAGCAGTGTTTCACAATGTCTTCATCAATGTCAATGTTGACTGTTAATTATCTATTACATGGTATCTATCAACAGGCTATTATATACCTTAATACTAACTAGAGTATCAAGATTTTTTATGCTGTATCACCAATTAAGCCACACCTGAATTAGTATGCCTGGACGCATGTAAAATTTACAATTTTGTAAAAGAATCAAGAACATTATCTGAATGGTTTTCATCTCCTATATGATCCGTTTTCAATAAAACATTGACTTAAAATATTAAAGATGAATTATTTGCTTTAATATTATAATCAGCTTTTGCAAATTGCCACACCCTAACACCTGAACTATGAAGTAGAAAGACATTGCATTTACAATTTCGGTAGACATCTAACTTTTTATTAAAATTCTGGATACAGTTTGCCTTCTAGATGTCTTGGCGTCAGAAAAACTTCAAAGACGTAATGCATTTTAATGTTTGTTTTACTTTGGGGTCTGGATCCCGCACCACTATAGCCAGGCAAAGTTATATCTTAACAAGCAAGTATCATCGGGGGGGGGGGGCAGAGGGCCTGTCCCCTATTTTCCAAACAACCTTTTACTATTGTAAATATTCATTGAAATGCAGGTTGTCTCCCTACCCGACTTTTTGATGTAGCATAGTTGAATTGTAGTAATTTGTGTTGATAAAATTGGGTTCTGTAAGGAAGTTGGAACCTCTCATCCCACCTCCTCCCCTCCTCCCCCCAAGAAATACGTTTTTTGCGTTTGGAGAATTTTTCTTTTTTTTTTTCCTTTACTTGTTAAGGTTTCTTTTCAAGTTAGTTTCTCTTAGTTTTTTTTTTTGCCTGTCAAAGTTTTTCAGTTAAGTTATCATTTTTTGTTTTGCTGGCCCCCATTTTCAAAAAACTATACTAAGTTTCTGATTTACAATTTTGGTGAAAAAGTTTACCTTCCATCATCATAAAATCAAATGCCTACTAGAGATCCAGTGCAGGAAAACATTTCTCAATGCTGAAGAATTTGGCCCCACCCTTCATCTTCCTGCAGGGATCAGGCAGAGTCCATGACATTTATACTTTATGTTCATCATAAGATGCTATCACGCCAAGTACATATGTTATATACTAAATAACTTTGACATTGTTTCTAACATTTTTAGAGATGCTGAAAATTTTCAAAACTTTACGTGCATTGTACGGCGTGTGAAGACGATCCAAAGAAATTAGCAGGTCACATGCCTGACTCAATGCTCAACTGAAAATATTGCTCAAGGAATGAAATTTTAGTAAGATAGTGCCTTTGGGCAATAGGAAATAAAATAAATTTTGAGGCTTAATACACTGATAATTTGGGGGAGGGGATGCATCGGAGTACGTAATATATCTCTTGTTATTTAGTACTGGTTTCTGTTAGTTATCGTTGATGACATAGAAGACAGAGTTAATGAAAAATACTCACAAACATTCCCGCTCGGAATTCCTCGCTGTAATTGTAATGGCCAGGAATTCCACCATTAGCTCTTCTTACTCTCAATGAACATTTAACCTTTCATTAATATAACAGAATTACATATATATTTAATTTCAAAATTAAAACTACATGTATATCTAACAAAATACATTTATTCGAATACTATCAATAAAAAAGTTTGGATATGCCATCAAAAACAATAACAGGTTGAGCTTTAATTACAATTATTTATTTGAATTGATTAACATCTAAATTGTGATTATTTTTGACTTTGTGATCAAATTACAAATTTGTCAGTATATCAAATTAAACGAAGCAATTTTCTTCAATTTTGAAACCTACATGTACATCGAATTATCATGCAATACACGGACGGTTTGATAAACAATTTCATGAATATTTTTAAATGATGACCTAGAAATCATCACACATGACATACAAGGACAAATAGATGAAACTTGTTTAACGATAAGTCTTAAGGAAAGTCTCTCGTCAGCTTTTGAGAAAATTTAATCAGAAGATTTAAATATCAAAATTATCAATTATTATTCAATTTCCATACCATATTTGAATTAAACAAAATTTTGCAAATGCAAAATGCAAAGAATTAAAAAAAAAAAAGAAAAATTAAAAAACTAGTTGACTAATTGTTCTCGAACAATTAGAGGTCTTTCCACCTTCTTTAAATTTCTTAAATTTTCTACATTTTACTGTCTAAAATTAATTCTTATGCAAAAAGAATTCAGATATGGCTTGAAAGATAGAAAAAATGAAAATTATAATAATTTTAAAAAGACCTTGACCTTTGACCTTCATTAAATTTTCAAGACCAAAGGTCAAGGGTCACATTGCAATTGATCGCATGCCTCTATGACTTAAACATTTAAATTATTAGGGTTAATAGTAAGCGCAAAGACGTTAAAGGGCGATAACTCATATAAGGGGTCATCAGATCCTTTTGCACTGAAAAGACTGAAGCTGTGTCTAAAGACCCTGAAGACATTAGTAAAGGTTACGTGTCTCTACGGTTTACGGTTTCTGAGGAGTAGCGATAACAAGTTTTTTCGCACAAGGGGCAATAACTTTTGAAGGGGTTAAGCTTAGGGGATAAGATTGAAATCTTTGAACTCATTTTAAGAGTACAACTTAAAAATGCAAAGATATACAGTATATGTTGAAAGACAAAAGAGCTATAAAAAGAGCTTAATTTCTCATATTTGGAATGACCTTGACCTCTGATCTTGACATAAACTTCAATGTCTAAGGTCAAGGAATCTAATGCAGTTGGTTTCATGTCTCTACAACTTATAGTTTTGAAATTTTTTATTATTCGTAAACTTCAAAAACTTTCAGGGGCAATAACTACATAATGGGGTTGATGAATCCTTCCGCACTCAAAAGGTTGAAGATATTGGTGATGGATTAGTATCTCTATGGTTTACGGTTTCGGAGGAGTAGCGATAACAAGCTTTTATTGCGGAAGGGGTAATAACTCTTGGAGGGGTCAAAGTTCATATACGCAGGGTCAACTGCAAAAATCTTTGAAGGAGTACATTCTCATGGACTATAAATCTTTTCGATAAATCTTGAAACTCAAAAACACACTTGGCGAAAAAATAATAATAATAAGCAGAACAATTTCAATAGGTCTTTCCACAGAAAGGTGGAAAGACCTAATTATTCTTATGGTGGTAAGATATTAAGAAAAAACTTCTCAAAATTTACACATGTGTTTCTTCAATATGGTGACATCACAATACCCCAATAAATCAATATTCGGGACCGTACATCAGCCCTTAGACTTTCTGCCCTCAAGCTGATATGGGGCAAGTCTTGCTGATATGACAAATGACATGTTAAGAAATATGTAGTAATATTCTCTATGCATTGCCTATTTAGATTTTTAATATCCAAAATATTATAGTTTATTAAAACAAAAAGGTCAGACAATGATTTACGCACTTTTAATTTTCAATTATAGTATACATGTTATACCGTATTAGCAGAATATTTAGCGAGGATTTAATTTTGGCATTATTGGTGAGGATGCTGAGATAGCTTAAATTGAATATCACTAAAAATTAATTGCGTTTTATTTGTAATAGCTTCTTAAGTGAGCATTTTAAAATCGCTTAAATTACTTCTCGCTAAAAATAAAATTCCAATTTTTAAGGACAAATCGCTTAATTTACGTCTCGCTAAAATTTCCACTTATACGGTATTTGAAATTTTTGCAGAAAAAAAGATTGTACATATTTTTTGCCATGATTATGTCTACGAAAAAATGATTAAGGTAAAAGTGGTTTTATAGAGAATAACAGGCCCTAGGGCTTTAACGGTCACCTGAGTATAATACAATTTAAAGGATCCATAGAGTGTAAAACAAACTGATTGATGGAGCTTTTTTGCCCACAAGCAAGAGAAATAGGATGATCAGGATCATTAAAACAATTAGTATAGTATTCAGTAACAACTCATAAATTAAGTTTTAATCAAACCCCCATTTATCACTATCACCATGGAGACTATTAACAAACTATTAGTTCTTCTGTACTATTTTTAACTCCGTAATGTGGCCTCCTACATTGGCCTATCTTGGTCTTTGAAGATAATTTAATTATAAGATTTTTATCTCAATTTTATTTATTTATTATTTACAAGTCTATCTGATCATAAAAAATATGAAAGTACTTTTTGTATTATACAATATATTTTTTTTTTTGCATAATTCTTTTATTCTATGAACATTTCAAATACATTATTTACAATGATTTTAAAATTATCAAAAGTGAATGGCAAAGAGGAATAACTTCTCTCAGTAGAATACAAATTAAAAGAGCCCTGGCCAGGACCAGAACACTTTGATCAAATGGTCCTGATGTTCAAAAATCTGGTACAAATATCCTTGCTTATAAAAACTTTTATTCTCTTTGCCTTTGATATGCCAAGGAGAAAAGATTTTCAAAGAAATAATGCATTTTCACTACAGATTCAACACAGCCCCACCTTAACACCAAAAACCCATGACCCAGGGTCATGAAATTTACAATTTGGAAGAGGTACCCTCATAATCATAACTATGCACTCAGTTGAAGATTTTCAAAGAATTAACACAATTTCACTACATTATCAACATACTCCCCCCCCCCCCCTCCTCGAGAAACACCAAAACCCCTGACCCTGGGACCACAAGTTTTAAAAATTTTGTAAGAAGTACCATTGTTCATCATAACTATGCACTATCTGCTCAACACTAAGGAGCAGACAGGATTATTTAACAGAATTAATGCATTTTCACAATATCATCAATAGAGCCTAACCCTTACAACAGAGCATCTGACCCAAGGGCCAGGAAAATCACAATTTTGGAAGAAGCACTTTTGTTCATCATAACTATACACTTAGTTTCTTTGCTTTATAATCAGGAGCAGAGAAGAATATTATCAAAGAATTTATGCTTTTCACTATATTATTAACCCTGGGGCCATGAATTTCACAATCTTGGAAAAGGCATCTTTGCTCATCATAACCATGCACTTAGTTTGTTTAAATAATACCCAGGAGCAGAGAAGAAGAATTTTAAGGAATTAATTATTTTCACTATATAAGCAAAATAGCCACGCCCTAACACCAGAACCCCTGTCCCAGGGGCCATGAAATTCACAAATTTGTAAAAGGTCTCCTTGTTTATCATAACTTTGCACTTAGTTGTTTAGATAATGCCCAGGAACAGAGAAGAATATTTTCAAAGATATTGCACTTTCACCATATGATCTGTAGATATAGCCCCAGCCTAGCAAAAGAACCCCAGACTCTGGGGCCATAAATTTCACAATTTTGGAAAAGGCATCCTTGCTCAGCACACCAATGTACTTAGTTTGTTTAAATAATACAAAGGGACAGAGAAGAAGATTTTTAAGGAATTGATGCATTTTTCCTATATAATCAATAGAATCCCACAATAGCACCAGAACCCCTGACCCTGGGGCCATGAATTTCACAATTTTGGAAGAGGGCTCAATGCTTATTACAATCATTGCAACAGTTTGACCACATGATGTCAAGGAGTAAAAAAGAAGATTCTGAAAGATTTGTTTAATTTTGGTGGTTTTAGCCCCACCCTTCAGGCCCCAGGGGGTAGGGATCATGAATTTCACAATTTTTATTCACCTGCACCCATAAATGCTATATGCCAAAATTAATTGAAGTTGGTTCAGCGATTTATGAGAAAAAGCTGAAAATGTTCAAAAGTTTACGACCGACGGACGACGAACGACGACAGACAGAAACGGATAGCAATAGGTCTCCTGAGTGACTCAGGTGACCTAAAAGTTACACCTTACATGTAGTGCAAAAAGGTCAAATTAATCATACCGGTGCTCAGTCATATGCACCTTGATTTCTTTTCGATTTTAATTATTATGTACGTACAATTGATATTGCATATCTTAAAAATACTCCTTAAAACATTGATATCACTAGAGATAGGAATGAAATACCTTAGGAATCGAAGAAAGCGTCTTAATCTGTTTTTTAAAAAACAATTTTACTTGCAAACTGGGTTCTACTTAAAAGGTTTTTTATTCTTGTCCTCCTAAAAACTGAAATTGTTGAGGTAGCCAGAATGACTTTTTCATGTTTTTCACAAGATCGAAGGTTTTAAATTCTGTAATTATAAGAATCACTATAACATTGAATAAAATAAAAACAATATGTATGTTCCAATGTTTCTTCGAAACATACGGAAATTACTGACCATAACACACTAAGCTTGTTGGTATACTAACGGTAACATTCAAAACTTGTATTTAAATAACCTTTCAAAAAAGAAAAAAAAATTTCGACGCATTCAATACACAAAAAATGCTAACACACCACCAAAAGAAATTAATACTTAACTTTTCAAAACTTGTTTATGATGTATTTGATTTATAAATATGTTACAAAAGTAAAAAAAAAAAGTTTTTCCTGTCTTAGCTGATAAATAACTACAATGTAAACTGAAGCGTAACTATTTCATAGAAAAATTGAAAATCATGCACACACTTTTTGGAGGAATAAATTTCAAGTTGGGG